AACAGGCCGGGCCTTCTGTTTCCTCTTGTACCAAATCGTATTGTAACTGTAATGTCTACCTTCATTTTGTAAAGCGCTGTGCAAACTGTTGGCGCTATATAATTCCTGTATAATAATAATAATAATATGAGCTGAGTATTTAGTAAAACCTGTCTACCAATTTAAAGTGGTTGTACACCTCAGACATGAAATATGAACAAAGCATAGCCCTCTATAGTGTGTACTTGTCTCAATCCAGAGCACTAAGTGTCATTTTTGTCTGTTGCTTCGTTCCTCTGTGATCAGCATGAATCCCTTCTGCCAAGTTTTCCTGACACCAAGAGAAAAATGGTGACAGGGAGGGACCTCCAGCAGATTCACAGCCTCACCTTCCTGTGCGCTGTGTGAATGGGGGAGGGTGTTCCTTCCCCCCAATCAGCTCTCAGAGCTCTCCCAACTGAGCTCTGCAGTATGTAATTTCAGCTCTCCGTCCCCCTTTTTTTTCCTGACAGCTTAGACAATATGTATAAACCAATGAATACTGAAATGACAAATTTTAATGACCCCTGGATATGAAAGGGTTACAAATATCCACCCCAAGATCAATTAGATACAAGAAAATTAACCCCTGTACTTCAAATGACATTCATCTAAGCAACACACAATTTTCCCATCAGCTGCCTACACGAAAAAATAGAGCTAGGTGGACAAAGTTGATGGGAAAATCCCATGAAGCTTTGGAATACTTTTTAGCGAATACTCACAGAATACATAGTCCAGAGAATCTTGATGAATAGACCACCCCTACATGTCATTTGTAATGTGCAAAAATTAGGAAAAATTGTACAAAAGTGACATCTAGTGGATACAAAGGAGTATAGAAAGAATCCTAATCCTAGCAAATAGACTATCGATTCATCTACAGTTGCAAGAAAAAGTATGTGAACCCCTTGGGATTACGTGGAGTTTTGCATGAATTGGGCAGAAAATGTGCTCTGAACGTCATCTAAGTCACAACAATAGAAGAACACAGTCTGCTGAACATAATACTACACAAACATTAGATGTTGTAAAAAGAGGGCGCAGCGCTAAGAGAAATACAATTATCCCTGATACATATACATATAGCAACATATATATAAGAATGTGTGATTAATAAGTGCCAAACATTGTGCAAAAAAGCATTAAAAAGTCCTTAAAAATAATAAATAATAAAATGGTGATTCAAAAACGTGCGTCTTCCGGTGATCAAAATCAATTGAATCATGCACTCACCAGATGCATAATTCAAATATGCATGTAGATGATATCCCGATATCCAAGCAAAGTTATCTCAAAATCGGATATGGCATCATAGGATCATCGTCTAGGCACATCTGTCCGTCCGAGTTCTCCTTATGGATCGTGTGTTTCCACACTAAAACACCTCTCAGCTGTCTCCCCAGGTGGCTCTGCGGGTAATGGACTCAGCAAGGTCCCAAGAAAGAAAGCCAGGATGGTGTGATATCGTTTTTAAATGGAGAAATTTATTGATCCAAAACAAAGACAAGGACTGAACAAAAAAAAAACTGACCATAAAGGTGTACAAAGATGGCCGCCGCTCCATGCGGTGGCGTGATGTCTGGGGTATGCTGCTCTTACTCTGACGCGTTTCGTGCTAAATGCACGTATTCATAGGGAGTGTGTCAGCTAACCAGACATCTACTCAAAGCCCTGTATAAATAGTGTATGGCAATCGCATAAGCGCGCCCGCCATTTTTCCTGCGCTCTCGCGCATGCGCAGAACAGACATTATTACGATGTCTGCAAAAATCACGTCTGCATAATAGTCCAGCGCCATTTTGTTATAGTCTTATCTAGAACCACCGACGGCTTCGATGTCAGCCGCAGACACGCCTGTGTAATGACACAGCGTCATTTTACTATAGTCCTTGGTGGCTGTTAGCCATAATAACACAGACAGAGCAGAAATGGAACACAGGAGGTACAATAAAGACACCCAATTGATCCATGCAAAGACAAATCGTCAAAAAAACATGAAAAACATTAAAAATATTAAAACATTAAAAATATATACGGATAAATTAACATCTGTGTATACTTTATACACGAATGTTGGTATGTGTATAATTCACAAAAAGGTGAACCAAACATTACGTGTTATAAATAAAAGATTACAAATAAATTTAAAGTAATCATATGGTGTCTCCATTGTAGGTATACAGTGAAATACAGTTTTAAAATTTGAATGTGACAAAAACGTTACATTAAGATATCCAAATACATAATATATGAAATAAAATAGAAAACATTAATATCTCCTTTGTATAGAGCAAAAATAACAATTGATGGAATACATAATCTCCATACAAATGAAAATAAAAATAAAATAATAAAATCTTAAAATAAATAATGAAAATAAATAGATGGAGGATCACGATGACCAAGAACCGCATTTTTTTTTAAAAAAGATGTTAAACGTTAGATGACATTAACCAACTAAGTAATAAAAAATGTGTAGTACAGGTTGATATAAACCATGACACAAATGTATGTATATATATATATATAGAATAGGATAGCACAAAATCTATGACTGGTCACCTACTGAATAAATAAAAACTAAAAAAATAATATAAGCATGTGCAATTAATAATAAAAATATCCATATAGAATAGAATAGCACTAAATCTACAATAAATGTAGATATGAATTTTAGTAGTGATGTTGTTAGGTGTTAAAAAACTGACCAAATAAATAATACTAAAATTTAGTGTAAATTAATATAAACAATTACACAAATTTATATATGTGGAATAAAATAGCACAGAATCTATAACTAATTTTGGTAGATGAAAAATAAAAATGACAACATATATAAATGATTGGCCAGGATTAGCTGTTATCAATAAAACTATTAATATCAAACTCAATATTGTGTCCTTTAGGGTAAAAAGTGTCTAATTCGTAAATCCATTTAGATTCTCTCTGCGAGACTGATCTCTTTTTATTAGTGCCCCTCCAATGCGTCTTGATAATATCAATTCCAGCAAACATCAGCGAAGTGGGGTCCTTGTTATGGAATAAACGATAATGTTTAGACAAGGAATGTTCCTTGTACCCCTTTCTAATGTTACTGACGTGTTCTCTTAGACGATCTTTTAATTTCCTCGTAGTTCTACCAATGTATTGTTTTTTACATGGGCACTGCAATAAATAGACCACAAATCTACTATTGCATGTAATAAAGCAGTCAATATTATAACTTTTACCTGTTACTGTTGAGTTGAAAATATCAATACTCCTTTTTCTGATTCCATTACATCTGCAAATAATGCACATGGAGCGGCGGCCATCTTTGTACACCTTTATGGTCAGTTTTGTTTGTTCAGTCCTTGTCTTTGTTTTGGATCAATAAATTTCTCCGTTTAAAAACGATATCACACCATCCTGGCTTTCTTTCTTGGGACCTTGCTGAGTCCATTACCCGCAGAGCCACCTGGGGAGACAGCTGAGAGGTGTTTTAGTGTGGAAAACACACGATCCATAAGGAGAACTCGGACGGACAGATGTGCCTAGACGATGATCCTATGATGCCATATCCGATTTTGAGATAACTTCGCTTGGATATCGGGATATCATCTACATGCATATTTGAATTATGCATCTGGTGAGTGCATGATTCAATTGATTTTGATCACCGGAAGACGCACGTTTTTGAATCACCATTTTATTATTTATTATTTTTAAGGACTTTTTAATGCTTTTTTGCACAATGTTTGGCACTTATTAATCACACATTCTTATATATATGTTGCTATATGTATATGTATCAGGGATAATTGTATTTCTCTTAGAGCTGCGCCCTCTTTTTACAACATCTAATGTTTGTGTAGTATTATGTTCAGCTTCAGTTGGCGGACAGATGGTTGTACGTTTTCCAGCAAAATGTCTTGATAAACTCTGGAATTCATTTTCCCATCAATGACAACAATCCGTCCAGGCCCTGAGGCAGCAAAGCAGCCCCAAACGATGATGCTCCCTCCGCCATGCTTTACAGTGTAGATGAGGTTTTGATGTTGGTGTGCTGTGCCTTTTTTTCTCCACACATAGTGTTGTGTGTTCTTCCCAAACAACTCAATCTTGGTTTCATCTATCCACAGTATATTTTGCCAGTAGTGCTGTGGAACATCCAGGTGCTCTTTTGCAAACTTCAAACGTGCTGCAATATTCTTTTTGGACAGCAATGGCTTCCTCCGTGGTGTCCTCCCATGTACTCCATTCTTGTTTAATGTTTTCCTTATTGTAGATGTGTCAACAAAAATGTTAGCATGTGCCAGAGATTTCTGTAGGTCTTTAGCTGACACTCTGAGATTCTTCTTTACCTCATGCAGCATTCTGCGCTGTGCTCTTGCAGTCATTTTTACAGGACGACAACGTCTAGGGAGAGTAGCAACAGTGCTAAACTTTCTCCATTTGTAGACAGTCTGTCTTACCCTGGACACATGAACATCAAGGCTTTTAGAGATACTTTTGTAACCCTTTCCAGCTTCATGCAAGTCAACAATTCTTGATCGTAGGTCTTCTGAGAGCTCTTTTCTGTGAGGCATGGTTCACATCAGACAGTGCTTCTTGAAACCAGTAAACCCAAAACAGGTGTGTGTTTTTTAAGGGCAGGACAGCTGTCAGCAACACATCCAATATCATCACACTGATTGGAGTCAAGGTTGGCTCACTCCTGGCTCCAATTAGCTCTGGGAGAAGTCATTAAGCTAGGGCCTCACATACTTTTTCCTCCCTGCACTGTGAATGTTTACATGTTATGTGCAATTAAACCATGGCAACATCTAATGTTTGTGTATTATTATGTTCAGCAGACTGTGTTCTTCTATTGTTGTGACTTAGATGACGTTCAGAGCACATTTTCTGCCCAATTCATGCAAAACTCCACGTAATCCCAAGGGGTTCACATACTTTTTCTTGCAACTGTAGATAGATAGATATATGGATTTTATTTTTACTAGTAATGGTGGTGATCAGCGACTTATAGCGGGACTGCAGCAGGCATTCTGACACTGGGGGGGAACTGACTTGGTGTCACTGACATCCCCAGTGACACCAATACAGTGATCAGTGCTAATAAAAAGCACTGACACTGTACTAATGGCACTGGGCAGGAAGGCGTTAACATGTGGGGTGATCAAAGGGTTAACTGTGCTCTTTTACTTGGGGCTGTGTTTGTGCTTCACTGTAAGCACACTGCTTTGCATGGCTATGTTTTGCACGGCCATGCAAAGTAATGTGTCGGAGCTGACAGGGAGATGAACTGTATTGTTTACAGTTCTCTTCTCCCCCCCCCCCCCCCCCGTTGGAGATGCTTGGCAATCACCGGGCGCCGACGAGTAATCACGCCCCCGGAAATGCAAAATCACTTGTATACATACATGATTTTGCACACCCGTGCCGCCCTGTAGCAGTACTTCTGCTATAGGGCACATGGGAAGTGGTTAAAGTGTTTGTAAACCCCTACATATACCCAGTGAAGTGACTGGCCTCAGGTGATATGCAGAGATGAAACGAATCGTTCTGCATAAGTTGTACCTGTTTATCTGCAATCTTTTCTCTACATGCGTTGAAAGTCCAGAATTTATAAAGCTTGTCTGAGCTTTCAGAAAACAGGAGGTGGAGAGCTGAAATGACACACTGCAGAGCTCAGTCAGGGGAGCTCTGAGAGCTGATTGGAGGTAAGGGACACACACACAGCTCACAGAAAAAAGTGAGGCTGCCCATCACAGGCTGTGTGCTGTAGCTCCCTTCCCTGTCACTTTTTTTTTTTCTTGGTGTCAGGAAAACTTGTAAGAAGCAGATATTAGAGGAAAGAGCCAGCAGGCAGAAATGGCACTTAGTGCTCTTACTTGAGACAAGTATACTTGAGACATAATATGAAAGGATATGCTTTGTTCATATTTCATGTCTGAGGTTTACAACCAGCTTAAGCTAGATGTATCCTATTCTTTGTTTGATTGCCTGATTTTTACGATTTTGAATTGCAATAACTACACATGCTGTCTCTAATACCACCACCTTTTTATAGAAATCTATGACTTTATCCCATACACCTCCTTTCTTCTTTTAGGATGCAGCCCTGGCAAAAGGAGAGTGCCTAAGCTCACGGGACTAGCATGATTATGGAAGACCTAACAGTGTCTTTTAAAATTCTAAAAAATATTGGGTTGATATTACAAAGTCTCTTTTTTTTTGTGCTCATTTCCATTTGCCATTGCCATTTCCTAAACATGTCCCTGATGATGTCATGGTGACGAAACATGTTGGGTGGAGCTTACTAGATCCAGGCTAGAGAGAGCTATAGTCAGTAGGCTGTCGGTTCCAGCGTGTCTTGGAACAGCGCAACCTTTACACATGCACACACTATGATGTGAGGGGAGGAGACACTCAGTACTTTGATTCAACTGCTTGCTGATTTTATTTAAATGTAAGTGCATACATTTTTTTTTATTAATAACGAGGTATTAAATGGTGAACACTGAGGGTTTCTTTTTTGAGCTGGGCTGCTGGCTGATGACCATGTAGTGAGTTTCCACGTTGATTGCTCATTTAGTAAGCTTCATAAGTCCCCATCTTTAGGGCTTCTGTAGAGGTGAGCATACACCATGGGGGTTCCAGGTCTTAATTTACACGTATTTCTTTTGGGGTTGGTATTGACACACTAACTAGCACTAAGATTTGGACTGCATATGTTGGACTTTTTTTTATCAAAGCGATATTCACTTTTAATTTGTTCTCATATTCATTTGTTATCAAATTTTATATTCATTTGGATGGATGGATATATATATATATATATATATATATATATATATATATATATATATATGTGTGTATCTTGGTGTTCAAATTTAATTCGTTCTGTGGGACTTTTCATATTGCAAAAAATTTGTAAACCAAAATGCGGTTTCCCTTAGGAATGCATTGAAAACCAATGAATCTGTTCCAGAGGTCAGAAAAAAGTAAAAAAAAAAAAAAAGTTTTATCTGTTCCAAACTCTCAAACTCTTTATAAAGTGCACTTTAAAGGCATAGTACTGTACAGGGACATGATTAAAAATTAATTTGTGAATGCATTGAAAACCAATTAATCCGTTCGGATTGCGAAAAAAAAGGCATTATTTTCAATGGGTTTCATTCATAAACTGAAAATGACGTTAACCGAGGCGTTTGTAAACCGAGGTATGCGTGTGTGTTCTTATTATTGATAGTGGAGAGTGACACCATGGGATTTTTGATTTGTTTTGGCACACTGGTATGAGTATGTGTAGAGTGTAGATGATCCACTCATTTATTTAACAATTTATATATTTAATATCTTGCACACCAGCTTAATTGATTTATTTTGCAACAATTAATACCAAACACACGGTAATATTTCAATAACCTGTTGGTTTCTTTATACACACATTTACTTAATAATTTCTCGCCTATAGTACACACCACAGTAGCTCACAAGAATCACGTTTATTATCCTTACGTTCCTAATACATTACCCAGTTCATATCAGTATAGATATCCAGTAGGAGATTTTCCCCATTGAGATCTGATATGTTTTCAAAGTGTTCCTTTCACTTTTTTGAGCAGCGCACTTTGGACCCATGACAGCACAAATAAAACCACTAAAACATTTGTAAAAATTGCTATATTCACAGTTTGACAGCAGGTGGCAGTGATGTAAACTACTCAAGCTTAGTAGAAATGATTTGTTTCTTCTAGGTATTTATTGTATATAATAGCACCATCAACCTACACAGTGCTTTACATTCTGTACTATTCCCTGCCCTCAAGGAATTTACAGTCTAACGTCCCTATTTTACATATATACATACACATACTTGGACAGAAGCCAATTAACTGACCAGCATGTCTTTGGTGGTGGGAGAAAACTGGAGAACCTGGAGGAAACCCACGCAAGCAAAAGAAGATTGTGCAAACTCCATGCAGATGATGTCCTGGTCAGGACTGGAACTGGACTCCAGTGCAAAGCAGTGGTGCTAACCATTAAGCCCATTTTAAAACTTGTTAGTAATTGTTAATTTCCGTTACTTTTTGTTATTAAAAAAAAGGGAATATGTGCTCTTTACACCTTTTTAAAAACACCAAAATCAGCCTATTTGGTGTTTTTTTTTTTGCCTCTATTTAAAGTGGAAGTATGAACACAATAAATAAGGACATACTTCCTTTAGCAGAGGGTCAGCGCTGTTTGCTGTACAGTTTAATCCACGCAGCATCTGCATTCCATGGACAGGGTAGTCTTAGATCAACATGTAGTTATAAATGGATTTTGAGTAAGCGATAAACAAACTAAAGCTAAATTTACAGATATTAGGGTTGCACTGATACCGTGTGTGTGTTTTTTTTTTTTTTTACCAGCGAGTACCAATACTTTTGTTCAAGTACTCACCAATACGGAGTACTAGTTGTGGTGCAATTTGAGCCCATAGAAAATGAATGGGCCCAAATCGCACTACAATAGAATTTCTTGCAATTTGAACAGAAATGTGGTGCGATTCCTGGCTGAATCACATGTGATTTCCTGCACAGCTGCTGTGTGAAGCCAAATACCTGGACTGGTGATGCGACTTTTTGGTGCCTGACAGCGGGAGATCTGCAATCTGGTACAGCGGGACCGAGGGGAATAGGGACGGGGCTCAGTGGATGGCTTGAACGGGTGAAGGCTGGGGGAGAACAAAGGTGTGGGAGAAGTAGGAAGAGCCCAAGCCACAGCCGTTGATGGTATCCGGAGCTGCTGGTGGAACCCTTCATGCAGGGAGGTTTCCTGTACCGCTCCTGTGTGAACTCGGGCTCAAAGTCACTATATCAAGCCTGGATTCACACAGGAGCTGTGCCGGAAGCTGTATGTGATTCGGAAGAGAATCCCACCACATTCCTCTTCAAATGACATTCAATTCTTTGCAGTGTGATTTTAGCACATTCATTTCTGTATGGGCTCAAATTGCACCGCAAATGTATCAGTTTTGGTATTGGCACTTGTACTCATGCAAGTACTCGGTATCTGCACCGGTATTGGTATCTGTGCAACCCTAATAAATAAATAGAAAAAAAAAAAAAAAAATATATATATATATATACACACACACACACACACAAAAGAAGGTGGGTAACTCCCTTGTCCATAGCATAGCAATCTCTATGGCTATACTGTATGTCATATGGGTTGTAATGTATATGAAGATGCTTCTTTGAAATTCAGACTATTGCATATTGGAGTATTTATTCTCAGTTTATTTGATATATATATTTATTGTATACTATATTGTGTATATGTATGTATATACAGTGTGTGTGTGTATAGAGAGAGAGAGAGAGATCTCACAGGCCTTTTAAATAAGAAAAGGAATATATTGACAATTATCATCACCAGTATGCAATTATTAGTGTGGTTTTTATATTCTTGTAATGCAAATTTGATTTATACACAGTATATAAAGATTAATTTTCTTGTAATAACTGTTTAATTATGTTATTTTTTTTCTCTCCCTTGTTTTTGCTTTTTTCTGTATTTGTCAATCTTCTAGGAGTTCATGTAAAGCTGAGCCCAAGACAAGCAAAAACAACACCAATTTATGGTGTTTATTTAAGCGTTTTACTGAAAAAGTATAATTTTTAATTAAACCACTTGTCTACCAAGGTATGTTTTGAAATTTCATGGTAAATAAATGGTTAAATCAAGCTTGCAGCTAGTTTAGATGAGGATGCAGCTATTCAAACACGACCTGTGCTCTAATAGCTGCATTGGCAGATAGAGATATTAGGGGTCTATTAGACCCCCAATTTCTTTATAAAGAGTACATGTCATCTGCCCCACTCCCCCCATCACAAGGGGGACATGTAAGCTCCCTTGTGATAGCAATAAAGTACCAAAAAAATAAATAAAGGGTAAAAAATAATTATATCAAATAAAAATAAATGAAACACCTTCATTACCCCCTGTGTACACCCAAAATAAAAAGCACAGCTCAGGGTGAGCATGGCATGTAATCATCAGTTCCATCATACATGTGAGATATCATCACAAATGAGCAAGCGCAATAATTCTAGGGCCATAATTCATGGTTAAACTGATGAGGCTTTTACAATGTTGCCTATGGAGAATTTTAGGTACCATAGTTTTTTGTGATTCCCACAGATGTGAGCAATTTTAAGGCTTGACATGTTTGGCATCTACAGTATTTATTCGACGAAACCCCATCTTTTATATTTTTACCAAAAATTGGGTACAATATT